GCCCCGGGCGGCGGGGGGAAGTTAGATGCGCCCGAGAAGATGAGGTTCCCGAGGGGGAATGATGCCAGTGTGCCCGAGGGCTGGAGAAGCCCAGGAGGCACGGCCCCGGTGTCTGGGGGGTCGGGCTGCGGTGCTACCGGGACCAACTGGTCCCTCACTGTGTGCAGGAGAAGTGCATGGACAAGCCAGGTCCGAAGCTGGACAGCCGGGCTGAGACGTGCTTCGTGAACTGCGTGGAGCGCTTCATCGACACCAGCCAGTTCATCCTCAACCGGCTGGAGCAGACGCAGAAGTCCAAGTCGGCCTTCTCAGAAAGCTTGTCTGACTGAGTGGGACCTGCGCCCTGGGGGATGCTGGCCAGGCCCTCCGTCACGCTGACTCCTGGTCACTCTGCTCCCTGAATAAGCCAGGATCAGCTCTGGGGTTTAGGATTTAATTAAATACCAGTCTTGGGGAAGTTGCAGCCAGATGAGAGCCCACGACAGAGGTACAGTTGCTCCTCATTGGGGTGATGTGCAGCTCCCAGCCCTGCAGGCCAGCAGTCGTCTCTGTGCTGGGATTCCGGGGCTATGCAGGGAGTGTTTGGAACGCACCCGCTCAGCTGAACGGAGGGGTGATGACACTCATGTCAGGGGGTGCTCCCAGTGCTGCTATCAATCTCAGCTCTGGGCAAGGCCAGCCTGCAACTGCTGCCTTAAAAAGTGCTGTGCAAAGCGAACCATCCTGGGTAGGCGATAACAAGCCCTGCAGGTGCCATTGCTGTGTGGTCCAGTACAGGTACCCTTAGCGAGAAGAGCTTGTTGGACACAGTGATCATCCCAGGCGGTGTCACTACTGGAAAATCCTTTCAGGCTTCCATAGGTAAATCATTCACGTGGCCAAGTGACAAATTTTCAAATTGCAGCACAACTCTGTCAGTACTGACTTGCTCCATTAACTGCTTTCCCCTGGTCAATGTAATAAATATTAACTGGGTCAATTTTTAACATGATACTCTCCTTTGTTCAGGTAGATGAACTCTGAGAATTGAAAATCTAGCCTTCTTGTTGGTCCTCCTCCTTCCCAGTGATCCTTTTTATTGCAAAATTAGTAGGGAGGGGGCATAATTGTCTTCTGGCCAGAAGGTCTGCTCTGAATTCTGATTTGTTGCTCAATTAATTTGGTCCCATAAATCAAACTTGCTTCTGAGAGAGACTGTGGCCTCTCCTCATCTTCCCCAAGGGTTAACAGCTCCTGCTGTCCTGTAAAGGAGTAGTTTCTTTAGAGACTAAATGCAGGAAATAAGTAACCATCTCCTTTAAAACCTGATGCACCTTTACCTGTGGACATCACTGGAGGGAGGCATATGGCTGTGTCTTCTGGACCTCTGCCCCAGGACACAGAGAGGAGCTTTTAACTGGAAAAACAACAAACTACTGATCTGCCCTCTGGAAAGGCAGCATACCATTTCAGCAGTGTTTACGTACAGCATGGCTCTGGTTAGCCTGGAGTGACCCACTGACAGTGGGTTGGAGCTCTACACAGGAACCTGGAAAAGCAGTTCTGCATGCGTCCATTTGTTGTGGGTGGCTGGACTGGGTGTGTGAGTTGCTAATACAGGTGGCTTGTAGCCAGCAACCTTCCTGGGAAGAAAATCAGGATGTGTTAAAAAGAGCTATGCAGATATAAACTCACAAAAGCAAGGACACAGCTGTCTAGTTTTACCTCAATAGCTAAGGGCTCTTAGGTCACTCCTGTTCCCAACAGTAAGTGATTCCCTTTCCTGTCCCTATCTTGAGTTTTTCTCAAGCTTCCCCACAGTTCTTCCTACCCCTTCATGCCTTTCAGCACTGGCCCAGCTCTTGGTACAAATGTATCACTAGCCACTCCATAACTGAACAAATTGGTTTTTAATAGAATACAGTTGTGCAAAGAGGTTGGTCCCTCTTTAAGAGGCACAGCAGCATGTGGCAGCACCACTGAAGTTTTGCAGTTTTGGCTGTATTCTGTTCTTGGATGTGAATCTGTAAATAAATTCTAGCAGAGTGAGCAAAACAAGTACTTGACAGAGGAATTTTTGAATTAATATTCTGGGTATGTCATTTTTAAAGCCAGACACCCATCTTCTCTCCATGTAATCTTAGTACGACGTTAGGTTATTTTACAACTGTTAATCTTCCAACTGTATTTTTAAAAAATTCTGTGAGGCCTCCCCAAATCCATGGTCTTCACATTCAGTAAGGGTTAGCACTGTCAGTGCGCAGCCAAAGCCTGTGTCCTGATGCGAGTGGATCAATTCTTCATGTAAAAGAACAGTGAAGAGGCACCAGATCCCAGGAACTGGAAGGGATCCTGGGCTCCTGTCTAGCTACAGGAGGCTGCTGTCCCTGTTAGCCTCCTAGCAGTAGCAGGTCACTCATCTTGCCCGTGGGGCAGGTAGAAGGTAACCACCAATTCCTGCTAGTGCAGCAGGAGCTAGCAGAAGCTGAGGCAGCATGTTCAATCTTGCAGTGGAGCTGCTCAGCAGCGGGAGCAGAAAGCTAGCAGTTCAGAGGCTTCTTCACATGCTTTCACCTTCTTCCTCCGTACTCTGAGTGCCTTTGTCCTCTGAGGGCAGAAGAGGCTGGTGCTGACATGACTGATGTCTGTCTGCACTCCTCCACGAGGCATGGTCTGCCCTGCCTTGCTGCAGGAAAAGGGGCAGGAGGTCAGGGGTGAAGGGCATGTCTCTGAAGGCGTGCAGGAGGAAGATGCCAGACACAATGGTGAGGAAGCCGCTGATGGTGCCAATGACATTGTCTAGCACCATGTGTTGCCACTCCTTGAAGAGGATGGCAGAGCACATCATGACTGCTGTGGTGAACAGCACGTAGTAAATGGGTGTGACCACAGATGTGTTGAAGATGTCCAAGGCTTTGTTCAGATAGTTGATCTGGGCGCTGATGCAGATCACCAGGCATACCAGGAGCACCCAGCCCAATGGTTCTTTCAGGACTGGCTTGCCGGAAAACAGTTCTTTCAGTGCAATCCCCAAGCCTTTGACGCAGGACACAGAAAGTGAGCCAATGGTGGAGCAGACCAAAACATAAACCAGGACGTTGTTCTGTCCGTAACGGGGTCCAGCCACAAAGATAAGCAGAAGGGAGGTCACCAGGACACACACAGCAAATACGATGAATCCTTGGGGAACGAAGAATTAAAGAGCTCTATCAGAACAGTAGCACCAGTGACAGATGTAACTGAACAGCAAGTAGAGATGGAGAATAGGCAGGTAGCTGCCCCATCAGTCTGTCTTTTTAGCATCCACCTGTAGGGACCAGGGTTGGGAAGCAGATTTGGTCTCCAGCCTGAGCAAAGTTGCAGAGACAACAGCAGCTCTTTACAGTGCTGATCACAGTACCGCCCCACATGTCAGCCTGTCAGGGGATAGAGCTGCCTGTGCTGGAAGGTGTAGTGGCACAGCCAGGCTCCATGGCAGTAGTAGAGGTGGTGGGGGCTTGTTGACCAGGAAGACAAGGGGCCACAGCTCTGCAGGAGGCCCAGGAGGGTGGCAGAAGGCTTGGGAAGCCCTAGCTGAACTCTGCTGGCTGTGGTGGCATAAAGAGGAAAGCTCCACATGACAGGAGTGTGAGGCCTTGCCAGAGCACTGACTCTATTGAGCAGCAGCATCTACCTGTTACTCTGCTTTGCTCTTCTCCCTGTGCTTCCTTCCTCCATCTCCTGTGGCTTATTCTGCCATTCATGCTATTGCCCAAATTATATCCTTGCAGCCTGATTCATCCTCTCACATAAATATCAGGACAAGATATACACCCAAGATCAATATATCCTCAAATCATTCACTCATCTTTTCCTGAAGTTCCTCCTCTGTCTTTCCTCAGTCACAGTACTGCCACCCTTGTGTACAAGAATTCCTTCTTCTATCCCAGCACTGCCACAGGCCAACCCTTTCTGCTGACAGCTGCAGCTAATTCCCATGCTCTTCACTTTTTGCATCTACACCTCATAGGCAGTACAAAAAAAAGCACACTTGGTAACTGTTAATGACCCAAGTTCTCATCCTTGCTTCAGCGCAGACCCAGCAACTTGGGAGCATCACCCAGACTCACTCTCTGCGAAGTGGGATTCCCATCCTGCTGTCATCTGGGGTCAAGAGGACTTAATAGTCCTAAAAAGCCATTCTGAAGCTGATGTGTCCCCCTGTGTTTTGAGCTAGTTAATAAGGTATAAATCCTCGAGCATGTGCATTAAAAGCTGTTTGACCAATCTTTCACATTTAGAGCGTGGAGACCCCAGCCTTTTCCCAACACAGAGGGCAACACACTAGCTATCCTGGACACAAGGAAACGTTTCCTCCATTGGTGCACAGAACAAGAAACGGTCCAATTACCCCTTAGTTCAGTCCTTCCCAATCTAGCCAAGTTGTATCGTACCTTCTACTGTCATGTCCAAGCCTGAAGTTGACAGGACTTCTTTTGTTTAAGTACCTGGATCTTTCAGCTTCTCTGCCATTGACTCCAGGCTGGAAACCTCTTCTTCCTGTGGAGCATGGATCACCATCACTGTGGAGCCCAGGATACTCAGGATGCAGCCAATCTTCCCATGAACATTCAGCTGCTCGTTCAGGAAGGTGGAAGACAGAACTGCACTGAAAGATGGTAAAAACACCCAAAACTAATTAGGCCAAGGGATGGAGTACCTGAGGGAAGGGACAGAGGAAGGAAGAGCAACTGCTTTCACCACTGAGGGGTAGTAGGTGAGGTAAGGGTGCTTCTGAGACTACTTACCTAACAAGGACACTTAGGGCACCTAGTGGAGTTACCAGCGTTGCAGGGGCAAAGGCATAGGCAGCAAAATTTGCTGCTTCTCCAACTCCCACTGCAAAAGAAACTCTGTCAGGTGAGCATCAAAGTAGGAACAATTCAGCATAATACAAGTTTGAGTGCAGTCAGAAGACAGCCTCGGTTTCCACCTGAGCATCCTGTTTCTCTGAGGTATGTCATGCAACCAGGAGAGAACAGCACCAGCAAGAACAAGCAGAAGCCTGATATAGGTTCTCTTGGGAAGACAAGGCTCGTGGTTATACACGGTGATCCTTAGTCACACGTGGCTATGCAGCTGAGCAGTAACTACAGAAAAAATATTTCCTTTATGTCCTCAAAGCTGAAAGGAGTTTTGACGTGTTCCATATTTCTAAGTCATGTTTTTTTTCTGGAACAGCTTTTACAGCCTTTTAAAGGGTAAATCAAGTACAATTGATTTATTAACATTGAAAAGTGTAAAACAGAGCTGCTGAAATCACTGTAGCACTAAACCCACCGTGCTGGATGTGCTGTTACAACATCATCTGGGCAGGCCATTTCAGAAGTGCTTAACCCAACCCAGTTAGACCAGATCCTATTTAGCAGAGAAACCTGGTAATGCATGAGACTTTAGAATATTTTAGAGTTATAATTAGATCAACAACATCCTCAGACACTCAGATAAAAATCAAGCAGTCAAACAATGATCATAATAATAAAACAAAAGCAACTGGAAACAATGACAAACACACTCTTAAGTGTGTCTTGCTACAGTTTCAGAGTAGGTACTTACTGCACAGCAGCCCTGCCCACCAAAGCCATTCTTGCAGGTACGCGTGACCTCCTTGCCCTAAGTAAGGAAGAAAGAGTAATAAGAAACCTCAGATGAAGCTACACAAAAGGCTCATTATCCTCCCAGAACTGCCTTGGAGAAGCAAGCGGGAGCAGCCTGATCTCTAAGTGCAAGGCTGCCTTGGGTCTGCCTGCCTTGTCACATACTGGCCTGACCCAGACATAGGCATGCTCTGATTCTTTTACCCTAAAAGCAAAGATTTTATTCCCTGGTCCTCCTGCGGTTGAACTACAGCAGTTTCAAGAACATGAGCAGTTCTAGAAACGGGTCTTTGTTGGCTATGGACCATGGTTGGCTATCTCTGTGGAAAAAGTCTACTTTTAAACCAAAAACTCCCCACAGGCAAGGAGGGGCGGCCAAGGCCCAGTGGTGGCCGGACTGTCCGAGTGGAGACTGACGCCGCCTGCAGTGTCTGGAGAACGCACCTCCGGGGGGAGCAGCTGCAGTGACAGCCCGGGGGTTGTCTGCCCAAGACCTAGAGGCGGAGATGACGGGCCGCTCGCAGGGGAGGCACCGGAGCGTTTTTCCCTTCCCTCCGTCCCGTTAGCCCGAGGCCCACCCCGCCGCCTTT